CACTGAGCCAGCGGCAGCTGTGCGAGACAGAGAGCCACGTGCGGTCCGCTGGGGTGACATGAAGACTGGACTTGGTTCGCCTCCGGGCTGAAGGGGAACTCTGCCCCCAGAACATCTCAGGCTCCTCCAAAGCCCCGAGACACAACCCGAGACAGTTCAGCTGGAAGGAAACCAAAGCTCCTGTTCAGACAAAATCTTCTCCAGAACTCCCCTCCCCTTCCCCTCTCCTCTGTGTCACACGCATTGACCGAGAGTCTGCCATGTTCAGGACATCGTGCGAGGCTGTGCTAGCCGCCGCCACCCCTCCCACCAAGGGAGGCTTTTGCAATGTCAGCGTTCCACAGCAACCTCAAAGAGTAAGTGTTTGGGCTGACCCCACAAAGTCATTTTTTAACATATATTTTTATGGATTTCAGAGAGGGAAGGAGAGGGAGAGAGAAAGAGAAACGTTAATGGTGAGAGAGAATCATTGATCGGCTGCCTCCTTCATGCCTCTCACTGGGGATGGAGCCCACCACCCTGGCATGTGCCCTGACTGGGAATCGAACCTGACCTCCTTGTTTTTAGGTTGTCGCTCAGCCGCTGAGCCACGCCAGCTGGGGACACAGTCATTCTGAGTTGTTTTTCTATACCCCCTCGGACATCCTGGGGAGACGGCTCAGCCGGGCTCACGGCACTCTTCTTAAATTCCGCGAGAAGAGCAGTGCTTCACTTCGGGCCTTGGTTAGCTTCCCGAGACAGCACCCAGGTTCCCACCCTGGCTCTCACATCAGCTCCTGAAAGGTGGGGGAAGGAAATGAGCACCACCCAAGGTCGTGGCTGGGAGAGGAAGACGTCAAAGGAAACAGAGATGCAGGCTTGCCGTTGCCTAGCTCTTCACTGCATACGTGTGGGAGAGAACTGTCTGGCAGCGACAGGAAGTTAGACGGCACTGAGCTGAGGCGGAACTGCATCGCACCCCTGGACGCTGGACGTGGAAATGAATGACTAAGGGACATCAGAGACTCCACTTTGGGGTTCCTTTCTTCCTTTATTTCCCTCAGTCCTCCTGCCCTCTCTTCCTCTCTCTCCCACGGGCCAAACGCGTCCTGCGACCTGTTCTTGGATGGCTTGCAAAGTAGGACCGGACTTACCATTTTTAAATGATTGAAAAGGAAACCAAAACTATATGACACTTTTTCGTGCCCATAAATAAAGCTTTATTGAAACATAGCCGCACCTACTCATTTACATGTTCTCGATGGCTACTACTTTTGTGCCGCCACAGCCGTGTTGCATAGCTGCCATGTTGTATAGTTGCAACAGAGTCCGCATGGCCCACAAAGCCTAAAATATTTACTATCTGGCCCTCGACAGAGAGAGTTTGCTGACCTCTGCACAAAAGTGAAAGAATAATTCTGCACAAACGCAGAAAGATGAGAGGGTCGCATGCTTCATTCTTCAGTTAACCTAGTTAAATGGCCACGTGGTGCCCTTAGTTATCTTCTCTTCAGTTAACCCCTCAGAGTCAGAATCAACTCCACTCCTGTGGCCTTGGCAAGACCACTTGCCCATCCTTCCCCTGCGGAGAGAGAGGCCCCGCCTGCCCACCACGTCCATCCTCAGCTTCCAGAGCAGATCAGAACGTCCTGTGGCCTCCATATGTGTCCCAGTAAGAGCTTTCCTGGCTCTGGGTTGAGGGGCTGCTCCCTTCTGCACAGGCCTCTTGCTTGTTACGCTTTGGGGTCAACCCCAGAGACGTCAACCCCGGTCCAGGCGGGGAAAATGCAAGCACTGGGCGTGGGAGTCTGCAATGTGGCGTTTCTCTCCTCGTCTCCAGGAACAGACCTGAAGCTGCCGACCCCCCTGGGACCTGTGTATCCACCGTTCATCTCGAGTCCGAGCTCCAAAGCTGTGGGACGAAGCTGGCAACTGTCTCCTCCCGCAGCAAAGAACTTCCAAATACACGACGTAAGTCTCCCAAGGGCCCCTCTCCTCCCTCGGCCCTGCAGGCTGAGAGGTGAGACTGTGCCCCACCCAGGGGTGAGCTGAGCAAATGAGGTGCCGATGGTTTCTCTTGACCGTTGACCCCATCCCACCCCCATCACCTCCTGCCTCCACGTGAGGCCGGTGCAGAGAGAGAGATGAAGCCCTGAGCACAGGTCATACTGCGCTGTGGATCTCATCAGGGTTCCCCGAAAGAAGAAAAGTCCTCAAAATCGGACAGTTTTCTGAGGCCCCGAATGGTCTCTTCCCCCCCCAGGTACCTCTGTTCTCCCCCAATTGCTGCTACATTTCCACTGAGGGAGAGGCGAGTCTTCACCCCCTGCCTCACCCTCCATTCACAGGCTCATTTTGTTTTGTGTGAGAGGCATTTTTGGAAAGCTCGGTGGCAATCTAATCCTCTCTCCCCACTGTCGTACCATCCAGAAATGGCCTTCAATCGCTCCTCACGTGACAAACCTCTGTTGAGCACTTAGCACGTGACATGTCATCCATCCAAGGTGGTAAAACGCAGGCTCAGTTTTTGAGGACCCCGGGGTGTAGTTGGGACATAACTGGGTAGAGAGACCTCGCAGTAAGTCAGGTGGGGGACACAGACTCCCGGGGGAGATGGTGTGGAAGCCCAGAGGAGGAGTAGCTCTGACGGGGGTCAGACACTTCCTTGGAAGCCAACATCAGAATTCTGAAAGGGGAGTCGGGGAGGCAGGAGAGGACCAGAGGGGGGCTGATCTGGCAGGAAAGGAGGTGCATGCAGGTTTTGGCTCCTCTGGAAAATGTCCTGGTGGTCATGATGGTGATGATGGCCTTCCTAACAGAGGCGCCATGACAGGTCGGGGAAGGAGCAGACAGAAGGGTCCAGGGGTGGAAGACTCTCTCATCTTTCACGGGATACAGCTCTGCGCTCAGTCGGCTCCAGCCGATCCAGAGTGATGGGGCTGGTCTGGCCCGTTAAGGTCTGCTGGCACCTGTCTGTCCGTCCTCAAGGTGGACTCTGGGGCCGCCTTCCTTGGAACAGAGTCACCCCCTGAAGCCACGCATGTGAATTTAAACTGGAGGCAAGAGAAGGTGACAGAGGCCGCGGGAAGTCCTCTCACCTGCTGGGTCTCACTGTTTCCGTTTGGGATGTGGGATGTTGACCTGTAATGTCCCTAGGGGCCTCTGATGTCAGCTCCTCTGTCCCCGCTGCCTCCAGAGTTGCCATCGCAGTGCCCGCCTGGGCAGTGCTGGGAGAAATAAACCAACACATTCGCTTCCTGCTGTGTGGGAGGCAGGAAATGGTCCAACCCCCTAATTGGGATGAGGTTCCTGCGGTGTGTCCAGCCGCCCACTCCTCAGCACACCCCCACTCCTCAGGTGTCTCAGCGAGAAAGGTGGGTGCACCCGGCCATCAGAAGCCAGGCTGCATCTACCACCACCACCTTGCCAACCATTACCCTGCCTCTGTGGGGCATAAAAGAATCAATATGTAGCCCTGGAAGGTCTGTTCAGTGGTTAGAACATTGGCCCGAGGACCGAAGGTTTGAGGGTCCGATTCCTAGTTAAGGGCATGTATCTCGTTTGTTAGTTCGTCCCCGGGGTCAGTCAGGGCACGTGCAGGAGGCAACCAGTCCATGTGTCTCACACATCGATGTTTCTCTCTCTATCTCTCACCCTCCTCCCTCCCACTCGCTTTCTAAAGATCAATGGAAAAAATATCCTTGGGTGAGGATTGAAAAAAAAAAAAAGAATCAATACGTAGAGAGAGGCAGTATTTGCTGCGCCTTCTCTGCACCCAAGGGGGAGCCGAGCATGTCCGGGGTGGGCCCTGTGGCCAAGAATCAGGCTGGACCTCACTCACCCTCTGGCCACACACGCAGAGCAAGAAGGCCCCAGCTCTTCTGGGGAAACTGATGGACAGTTTGCAGGACTCGGTTGTTAGTCCAGAGAGGCGAGGCCTGAGGAGAGAGGGCAGGTGAGAGCGAGGTGGCCGGGGACCGGGGAAACCAGTTGAGAACAAGCATCAGAGCAGCCGTGGGCACCCAGCAGGTGGTGCCTTCGGTAGAGAGCAGGGACGGTGCTGGGCAAGGAAGCTCTCTGGCTTGGGCGGTCCGCTGGGCACCCTGTGTCAGTGTCTCTCCAAGTGGAATGCAAACGGGGCTCCTTTGCTCCTCAGTTTCTAATAGAAGTGAGATTAGAATCCCAAGAGGGGACCCTGCAGCACACAATCACACGTCGGAGCCTGCCTCCGGCCTTCAGCAAGTATGGCCGCCGGTTGATGGCATTCTTGGCAGCCAGTGTCCCACGAACCATGCCATTTCGAGGCTGGAAACGACCTCAGTCACTGAACCACCATAGAGGTGGGTGGTGAGTTGAGGTCCTACAGTGAGTGGTGCAGTCAGAATAGAACTCGGTGCCCTGACCCCCAATCTGCTGTGCAGACCCACCAACTCATGGAGCGGACGGCCCTTTTCTCTACCTCCCAAGGCTGTAGACCATTAAGAAAGGCAAATGGCGGTCCGCCTAGTGCAGGAGAGGCGTGAAGAAGTGCCTGTTTTAAACAGTACACTCTGACTTGTGGGAGCTGGTGGGACGCGCTCTCTGGGCTCCTCACCGCAGGTGCCCGTGGCCCGTCCCCCCCCAGCAGGGCCCTTTCCGGGACCTCCTGGACATGAAGACGGAGAAGAGACTGGCCGGCTGGAAGGAGCGTCGCAGTCGCTACGGGGACATCAACATGCACAAATACTATCAGCTCGGGCAGGTCTTCACCCCTTTCCGGGCCCTCGCCACCATGGTAAGCTCGCTTTTCTTCTGGGAAGGGTTTCGAAGTCCTTTGGTGAGACCGGTGACAAATGTCAACTCTTTCCCCTTTTGTGGGATGGATGAGTCCGTTCCGGCCACGCAAATGCTGCACAACCAACCTCCCCCAAACTCAGCGGCTTGCCCTCCCAAGCATCTGTGCTTCTCACTCGCTCTTCTGCAGAGAAATAGCCTCATTCCGCTTCTGTTTACTGTGAGCTCCCAGGGGAGGAGAGAGCAGGGCATCGAGAACAATAACCTCATTGGCCACAAGAGGCTGACTCTCGCCACCTGAAGGTCGGTGGCCTGAGGTGGAGGGGGGTCTGAAGGCAGCTGTGATGTTCAGAAATACCCATTTCAAGGGGAGGAAAAAGTCTGGGGAAAGGAGAAGATTCTGTGATGATGAAAGATGGTTCCGTTCCCATCCCTTTATCTCATCTGTTACCTTCTGGGCCCAAGTCAATTCAAGTGGGACCATTCCCAAAGGCATTTCCTTGGAAGTACTGTTCTAGCAGTGCATATGTTCTAGCTATAAATGTACTCTAGGTGTACATATGTTCTAGCTGTACATATGTTCTAGCTGTACATGTACTTTAGCTGTACATATGTTCTAGCGGTACATATATTCTAGCTGTACATATGTTCTAGCTGTGCATATGTTCTAGCTGTGCATATGTTTTAGCTGTACATATACTCTAGCTGTACATATATTCTAGCTGTACATTCTTGGGATTCTAAAATCTGGGTGTGCAAATGAATCACTGGGGAAGCTTGGTCCCAACGTAGGGCCCCAGTTTGGAGGGTCTTGGGTGATGCCTTGGAATTTTCTTTTTTAACATATTCTCTCTTCACCACCTTTATGGAGCATGACTCAGTCAGTGCTTCCCAACCCACTTTAGCTGTACATATATTCTAGCTGTACATTCTTGGGATTCTAAAATCTGGGTGTGCAAATGAATCACTGGGGAAGCTTGGTCCCAACGTAGGGCCCCAGTTTGGAGGGTCTTGGGTGATGCCTTGGAATTTTCTTTTTTAACATATTCTCTCTTCACCACCTTTATGGAGCATGACTCAGTCAGTGCTTCCCAACCCTGTTCACGCCATCAGCACCCCGAAGTCTGAAGGGGGCCATTGTTCAGGCCGCCTGTAACCCACTCACAGCTCCAGTGCGCACAGGAACCCAGGCAGTTAATCTTCAACCCCAAGTCAATCAGATCAGAAAATTTGGGGGCAGGTCCCAGGCATCAGCATGTTTTAAAGCCTCTTGATTCGATGACCAACCCGCCCAGTTTTCCCAGGACTGACTCTCACACTTTTCCCGGAATTTCCCATCTTTTGCCACTAAAAGTCCTGAGTCCCAGGAAACCCCTCAATTTTTGTTTTAAAACTGAAAGTCTCGAGTCCTTGGAATTTGTACAAACCAGACGGTGGGTCACTCTATCCAGGCATGATTTTAATGCATAGCCAAGTTTCGAAGGACTGCTCTCTGAACATTCTAGAAATTAGCCCCAATTCCTCATGTCACAGTTGCTGCCCATCTATCCATTCACTAACCAACATTCCTTAGGCATGTACACAGCCCGGAGCTGAGAACTTTGGAGGACCCAGCAATGAAAATCTCAGTCCTACCCCCAAGGAGCTTCTAGTCTGCTAGGGATACCGAGTCATGAACCAAAACCATGCTGCAGACACAAGTATGATGCCACATTAATAAGAACAGCTCCATAAATGGATAGACCCAGAAGGAGACAAGGGGTCTCCAAATAGGAGCTGCTTTCTGCTAAATCCAACCCCCAAGGTCATGATGAAGAGCAAAGCCTGCACATAGGGACACCCTCTCGACTCACAGTGCCACCTGGGAAGAGCAGATCGGCCATGTATTGGGAGCAATCGTCCCCATGTATTGAGTTCTTACTATGTGCCAGGTATAGTGCGAAAGACTTCCCAGGTCCTGATTCTTGGGACCTCTACCCCATTAACATCATTTTATCAATGAGGAAGCAAAAGATGAGGCGTGTTAAGTAACTTGTCAGCCAGTGGCGGAGCCAGGATGAGCCTGCTGTGCTGGAACAGGTGCTCCCGACCTCCACGCGTTATTTCATTGCCGTTATTCTCTGCCTCGTAGGAGATGCGAAGGCTGGTATTTCCCCAACACCTGCCCATGAGTCTGCACATGCGCAAAATGGGCATTTCGTGCACCGACGAAAGGACTCTCCGAGACTTGCCTTTGTCTTCCACAGAGCTGGGCTTGGGAATGGATGACAACACCCATGAGAAAGAGAAACCAGCGGGCCATGTTAGAACACCTTTATTCCCCCCAATAGTTAAAGCGGCAAAATTTAAAAACATGAAAAAATAAAAATTACATAACTCCTTTCCAGCCCTTTGCTGCAAGGCTTTGCATTAAAACGCTTAAATCCCAGGGATTGGGAATGCTAAAACATTCGCACACCTGACATGTGGATAAGTTGGAGAGTTCCGCCAGCATGCCTCTGTGTGGACATTTGGAGGAGGGTAGAACAATTAGGAGCTGTAATACTCACCTAGAATGGAGTCTTCAGTAAGTACACTTTTCTCAAAAGTCTAAAGGTAGGGGGAGGGGATGGTTACAGTTCAATAAGTCAAGGACCCCACGTTTTCCATCTTTCTGGTCTACCATCCCCAGAGTGTTGGATGATAACCTCAGGATTTGTTCCTCATGGCCACAAAATGGTTGCCACTGTGCCAAACACCACATCCTCACATGTGTGCGTACACACACACACACACACAGAAGGAGAACCTCTTCCAAGAACCACTCAACAGATTTCTTGGCAATGCTCCTTGGCCAGGATGGTAAGGCTTGCCCAGGCCATAACACCAAAGGAAGCTGGGAAGGTAAATATTGGGTATTTACAGGGAGGCAAGTTCTAGCACCAGGAAAGGAAAGTAGGACAATGGCTGGTGGGAAAGTAATTCAGATCTGCCACAGTGGGACACTGGGTGGATGGTCGTGTGGTTTGCTAGACTAGGATTATTCTTCCGGGCTGGGCTGGAGGCGCATATACCACCATCTCTATGCAAACCTGAACTCCAAGTTGCAAGACACAGACCTAGCAACAAACCACTGGAACTGGGCTCATGGAGAACTTGCAAACAGCCTGCACTTTTATCATTTGTTTGACATCAGGTATTTGCAAACGAGGCTTGTTCTTTCTAAAAGCACACCTGCGTCTCAGACCTTCCATATCCTTAAGAAGCAAAACCAAACAGAACCCCCTCCCTCCCCCCGGTTTATTGTGCCTTGTTCCTATTTCTTGCCGACCAGAACTAACTGTTGCCATACGCTCCGAAAATGCCCAGTGTTGGCATGTTGTTGTTGTTGTTTTTTAATTTAGTTTTATCTGGTCAGGGCACAGAGCCTTCAGCTAAGGAACCCTGTAATCTGTTCCTCACGAAGAACCATATAATTGAGCAATTGCCGTAATCGCTGAGGGCTGCTGTGTGGACAGTAAGCTTTGGGGTATTTCCCAATATTTTTTCTGGAAATGCCAGGAAAGGGAAGGCTCGCGTGGAGTCTTGGGCCCCGGTGTCCTTCCTCCAGGAGTAACGAAGGTGAGGACAGGGGCCTCGGTAAGCCGAGTGGATCCTGCACCCAGCTTGGCAGCATTTCCCAGGCTGATCTGGTGTTTCCAAATATATTTTTATTGATTTCAGAGAGGAAGGGAGAGGGAGAGAGAGATAGAAACACCAATGATGAGAGAATCATTGATAGGTTGCCTCCTGTATGCCCCACACTGGGGATCGAGCCTGAAACCCGGGCATGTGCCCTGACCGGAATCAAACCATGACCTCCTGGTGCATAGGTCAACGCTCAACCACCAAACCATGCCCGCTGGGCTGGAACTGGACATCTTGGGATCTATCTTCACATCCCTCTCTCTCCTTCCTTCTGTGTGTGTGTCCCACCCATTGCCCCTACCTTCTAAGCAGCTTTCATATTAATTATGTCCGTCCTCTCCATCCGCCCTCCACGATTAGCCTTAGCCTTCACTATCTCTTCTCTACGTTTACAATAGCCTCAGAACCATTCTCCTGGTCAGGAGGATTTTTCCGAAGCACAAACATGATTGTCTCTCCACACCTTGAATGGCTCCCCATTGTCCCTGTAAGAGCCCAAGTCCTTAGCCTGTCGCACTGGGCCCTGCTTCACCTGTAGCAGCCTCATCCCCTGTTCCTCCCATGCACCCTCCTCCAACTCCCCAGCCTCACATCCATGCTCTTCCCGTCTTCACCACCGGCTGTCCCGGATTCTTACACTCTTACCTCTGCATCCAGTATTCCCCCTGCTGTGGCCGTCCTTCCTCTCCTCACTTCCTGGGGGACTCCTACGTACCCCCAGGAGTCAACTGGAAAGGCACCTTCTCTGTGAAGCCAACCCCCACCCCCCAGGCAGGGTTAGTGCCCTCTATTTGGCTCCTCTGTTATGATGTTCATCGCAATGAGTTGTGGTTGTCTGTTGTCTGTCTCGAGGGCTCTGCTTCCCTGAAGAGCAGTAATTATATGCATTATTCACCACTGTATTCCCCCATGCCCAGTCCAATGCCTGGCACTTAATGGCTATGCATTAAATGTCTGGCAAAGAAGTGGATGTGGGCGGGGGGGGGTGGAACTGCATGGCAGCCAGGCCTTGGGAGATGGAGTGTGGTTTTGCACTAATGTGACAGCTGTTACTAAAGATGCTAACGAGGGAGCACAAGGTGACTCAGAGGTGAGTGTGCCTGTGACCCAGGGCAAGTGGGATGCTTGAAAGCTCCAAGAACCAAAAAGGAATGCAGGCAGACTCCCCTGCCGTTGGCAGGACTTCCCTTAGGCAGCGCCGTGTGTGTTGTGTAATTGAGGCAGTTCTGCCCACCTTGTAAATCACGGTGTGAGAACGGCCATGTTGCAGCAGGGAATGAACCGGGGAGGGCTTTGCTTGGGGACCTTCCCCTGCCAGGCTGGGCAGATCATTTCCCAGGTCGAATTCTATCGTGACAGGAATATAGTGCACACCTACTGCGTGCTTGGCTTTTTGCTCTACACGCTCATGAAATTTTATTTTAAGTATTTGATGTTCTCTCTCCACTCAGGAGATTGCAGTCTCACTGGAAATACTGCTATATACACATGGACTCATTAGAAGCCACAAGGCCATATGAGATCCATGTTAGATTGTAAGAAATTAGCTGGGAGCCCTGGCTGGGTAGCTCAGTTGGTTAGACCGTTGTCATGATACACCAAGGTTATGGGTTCGATGCCAGGTCAGGGCACATACAAGAATCAACCAATGAATGCATAAATAAGTAGAATAAAAAATTGATCTCTCTCTCTCTCTCTCTCTCTCTCTCTCTCCAATAAATACATTAAAAAATTAGCTGGGAGTAAAAAGGCACCTAGGGAATGGATGGATGGATGGATGGATGGATGGATAGATGCATATGGATAGATGGGTGGATGAATATGGATGGATGGATAGATAGATGAATTGGATGGATGGACAGACAGAAAACTAAATATTCTCTCAACTTGTAATTGCTTTCATCTAATCAGATACATGAAAAAAATTATAATGCTTCAAGGTGCCAATCTTTCAACACTCCAAGTAGCACAATGATTTAGCCCAACTTAAAACACTCACTATTACTTTAAGGCGTGATACCAATGAATGAGCGGTGAGAGTTTTTGAAAGGTCGCAGGTATCGGCATTTTTTGGCCCCCAAATGACACCTCCTTCGCCTACATAAAGTGCTAGTCCTGGCAGGAAGTCCCTCCCAGCAACTCCTTACCACTTAGGACTGAAAATAAGAGGCAAACAGGAAACCGTGTTTATTTTTTGCCACGAGTCAGCCAAACTCCCACACCTGTGCTGTGCATTTCCTGTTGGGTGTTGTTGTTAAGTCCAGTGAGAGAATGACGCTCCCCTCCCCGCTTTGTCCCAGGGAGCTATCTTACTGTCACCCTGCTGGGTATAGAGTGTGTGAAAGGTTGCGGGGGGCTCAGCGAGGGGCAGGTGCAGGAAACAGTGTCCCACCCTCCACCCAGGATTCCTCCGGAGGCTCGTGTTGAAAGTCTCCCTAACTCGAAGCCATGTAGCTCTTTGGCAATGGCCATGCTGGTAGGGACGAGGCAGCATGTGATGGAAAGCCCTAATAGAACATGACTGAGTCACCGGGTAGACCAAGCTGCTGCTGGAAATTGTTCTGTAGTGAAATGACTTGGAAGAAAACAATAGAACCCTTAAGACCATGGGATGCGCTTCTTGTTTCTGAGCCTCGCTTACAGGCTGGTCACGTCCACCTTCCAAAGTTTATGTTGCCCAGGAGTCCTCCCGTGAGTTTTCTTCATTCCACTGAGACTCCTCAATAGAAGTGGAAGCATGAGTACCTGTTCTAATTTAGACCGTTCTCTTAACTTCCTTTAAATTACTGTTATCATGGCCAGTCTTCCATGATGATGCACCTTGGGAGGCCAAGATGTCTCTGAGGTGCAGGCCCTTAATGAGGATCTTAGTCCAAGAGATGTAATTTGACGAGTCTGGCATTCACCAGCTCAGCTGGGCCTTGTCCCCGCTTGCCCTGAGCTCCCCTCACCCTGTCGGAAGCACTCTGCTTGGTTCTTTTCCGTTTTCTCGGGGCCAGGGCACCTGACTGTGTCTGTCTGCTTGGATCTGCCTGTCTATTCTTCACGGAACAATCACATCACCATCGGACACTAACAGGCAGACTGGAGAAATGCCTGAGAGGAAGTCCCAGCAGAAGTATGTCACAGATCAGTATGTCGTAAAGGTTGAATAAGAAGTAGAGGAGTTTGCCTTGGAGTAAAGGGAAGTCGAGGTGAGATGGTTTAGTAACATTTAAAAACACAAAAGTAGGGAAGGGTGAGTGGAGGGCATAGTCTTCTCTCATTTATTCATCCTCTATTCTTACCACTCTCCTGTCCAGAGATTAAAATACACATAAATATTTGGGCCCTAGCTGGTTTGGCTCAGTGGATAGAGCGTCGGCCTGTCGGTTGCGGTTCGATTCTGTTCAAGGGCACATGCCCAGGTTGCGGGCTCGATCCCCAATAGGGGGCGTGCAGGAGGCAGCCGATCAACGATTCTCTCTCATCATTGATGTTTCTATCTCTCTTTCCCTCTCCCTTCCTCTCTGAAATCAATAAAAATATATTTTAAAAATACACATAAATATTTGGTTACTCAAGGTTATGTTCACCCACAAACAAAACCTCCTCTTGGGAGTGCCTTGCTGCTTGCCCTTTGGCCCCCTAGATGCTGACCTCGTATCTCCAACCAAAGGAAATGCTGAAGGGAAGACAATGACAGACAGGCCTTGAATC